GGGAATATTGAAGGATTATTTTTGGAAATTTTTCTTTAAAATGAGACGATCGCCTCTGATCATTAGCTTGATTTTGTCGAAAAAGTGACTTCCGAGATAAACCGCTCGAACATTAAGAACATCGAAGTATTATTTTTGGAAATTTTTCTTTGAAATTAGAATTTTATTGAAAAATTGACTCGCGCCCTTCTCAAAAATTTTCTTCAAATTTTTCTTTAAAACGAGAAAATCGCGTCACTTTGTAATTACTCTGATCATTAATCTAATTCTGTCGAAAACGTGTCTTTCTGTCGAAATCGTTCAAATTGGGAACGCGGTCAATTTCGAAGGAGCATGCAGTCGTGCAAATAATTCCGTCAGATCGGTAAAATTCATTTACCTGCGACGGTGGTAACATGGTAGGGGAACCGAAAGTGAGCGGGACTTTTCTGTGATGATTCGGTGCCATTTCCAACGGCAAGCCAGCCACGATGAACAGTTGGTAGAAAAGCTCTTCCACGTGGTAGTTCCTCTTCGCGGACGCCTCGATGAAAACACAGCAATCGTCCTGGCTGTTGCAGTACTCCTCGGCCTCCTCGACCGTCACCGTTCTGTGAAACACGCGTTCCTTTTGCAAATTTCGGCCGAATCCTCAGCGAATTAACTCGATGTGCCCGCCGGTTAGGATAATTCGCGGTTAGTTATCCGGAACGTCTTGATTGTGCAAACATGCGAACGAAGGTGCTCGAGAAACGAAAGAGAGGATACGAAAAAATTGCTCGAGTGGCGGATGGCAATGCGGACGGCCTTGCATTAAAAGCGTGCAAACGGGTCAAAACACTTTAATCGTAATCCATAAATTCAAAGTGGCGGATACTTCAGGATTTCGAGCTTTTTATCTACAGGGACTGCTAGCGAGATGATGAACGTGCTTCTTAAAAAATATCCACGTTCGATGAAAGAGTACAGTGACTCCCGAAATTAATTTCTAGAAATTTTGTTTCTAAAACTATAATATTCGGACACTTAAATATTATAGTTTTAGAAACAAAAAAAGAAAAGAAAATTTGGGCCCATTTTTGACAGCTTCAGACTTTTCGTTTTGTTCTGAATCGTTTTTCTATCACGCAGGATGGTTTTCTTCTCAAAAATGCTAAAGATCGGTATAATATGTAAGAACGCTGAAAAATTTGTTTCGCGACTGAATTTACGATGAATTTGAAGATTGAAGCCTCCACTTTCCAACGATCTCCGAAAATTTGACGTATGATTTTTTTTCCTCCCGTTATTCCATTGAACTTCGAATATTGGGCTTGCACGACGAAAATCGAAGAAATCGAAGACGTCTTTTGCCTGTTATTCAAAATTCAATAGAGAGGTTGTTGTAAAGGTTTCAGTCTTCAAAATCCTTCATACAAAATCATTCAGTCATCAAAAAACATTTTCCAATGCTTTTACATACTTATACTTACCTTAACATTCATCTGCCATATAATGTAAAGTTACTGTACTTGTATATATATAGTTTCACGCGATCATCGATCGAACTTTAAACCATTCGCGCGGCAGTCATCGTGCATATTTTATGGACAAAAAATGCAGAAATGATTCGAAAAACAACACTGAAGAAAAGCTGACTAAATGATAGTGAAGGAGAAAAATGAAAAATAACGTATTACTATTTATTAATAATAAATTTTTCAAAAAATTTTTTAGTAAACAAACAAATATTAGATTGTATATATATATATACACACACACAATCTAATAAACTATTAATACACACACACACATATATACGTCTAAAACGATTTTTCTATCTTTGAAAAAGTTCATCTATCTGTTCATCGCTACACTTTTCAAAATTATTCGTTTGTCAATGCTTAATTGCGAACAAAATTAATTCGTAATTAATTGAAACGGTGAAACTGTTTCGTAATTATATAGAATAATTATTATTATTCGAAATCAATCGCGATAGAACACAGCGTTATCCCGACTATTAACTTGCATACACGTTAATGCATATCTATTGCCAGAAAAATATCACCACCGAGCCTGACTCGTTATTCTGCGCGAATGGGTTAATTATAATCTCGTAAATAAAATAGACCGAGAGCGTTGCACGTACTTTGTTTCCTTATCACATTTGTTCCCGACGATGACCATAGGAACCTTCAGATTGAAGTGGCTCTTGCTCCTGCTCTTGGTCGCGCTCTGGGTCGCGCTCACTTTTGTCTCCAGGATCGATTCACGCAGTCTGATGGCCTCCTCGAACGATTCCCGACAGTCCAAACTGAACACCACCACGAACAGATCTCCTGCGTTAAAAAGACAGAGAAAAGAAATCGTGTTTTACGATGAGCATGAACAACATGAGCACGAGTTTATATCCACTCGAGTAAAGGAAGAAAAAAAAAGAAAAAAAAAAAAGGGAAATCCGAAAGGAACGTCGACGTTTTACCGTGAAAATCAAACGAGAAGGAAGGGATTTGTTATTTGAAGAGAGAGAGAGAGAGAGAGAGAG